AATTCTTTCATATGTAAAATGAAGGTGCTTAACATGATCCCCAAGGTCTTTCCTAGCTCTCAATCCATCTTAGATTATAATGGATATAATATATTACATGACATTAAAAGAGGTATAGCTTCTAGGGTGTAGGAGGTGATGGTTCCACCGTACTCCATCCTTGTCAGACCTCATCTGGAATATTTTGTTCATTTCTGGGAGTCACATTTTAAGAAGGCCACTGGTAATAGGAGAGTAAATGAAAATGCCCTTGAATCTGTGCTATGTGAGGATCAGCCAAAGGAAAAGGGAGGATGTAGCTAAGAGGAGAGAAGACTGGAGAAAGAGATATCTATTTTCAAATATTTGTAGTAGTATCATGTTGAAGACTGATTTGACATTTTGCTACTGGGGTAGAATGAGGAACGATGGGTAGAAATTTCAAATAGGACCAATTAAGTCTTGTTATTAGGAAAAAAAACTTCCTAATATTGAGGGCTGCCCAACAATGGAATGGGCTGCCTTCAGAGCTGATGGTTTCTCCCATCAGAGGCTGCATGACCACTCCTAGGGTATGTTACAATGCCAGTGTCTTTTGTATGCAGATTTGGACTAGATGCCTGCTCAGGACGTTTTTAACTCTCAAATTCCATGATTCTGTGACCCTCTCTGGGCTACCTTGAGTTTGTAAGATGGGGAAAAAAAATCTTGTACTAGTATGTACCTTACAGACTTGTTGTGAGGGAAATGCTCTATAAATTATAAATATGGCTTATCATGTATGATGGAAAATTAGGAGAGCCCTGTTTCAGTTGTGGAGATATGACTGACTCAGAGTTGTTATTCTGGCTGATCTTTTTAACTTTTCTGTGCCTCAGTTTTCCCTTTTATGGACTGAGGGGTAGTAAGAGTGTCCTTTTTCCTCTCTATTACCATCTCCACAGAGCTGTGAAGATGATGAGATGATAGAGGGAGGAAAAAGGCAGTTTGAGCTCTTCAAAAGAGAGACCACATAAAAGTAAGGTGTCATTATCAGTAACAGTTCTTACAGTGTTATTTGGGTTTCAGTTTCTGGAATGGGGTAAACAATGCTAAATAATTTTCTGTTTTTTTTTTTCATCTCCTGGATTGTAAACCTTGCAACTGTGACATTAAATACAAACAAACCCAAATTATTCTTTGAACCCTTGGCACCTTGCATAGTACTTAGTAAATGTTTGTTCTTGTTACTGCTTTTTTAAAAAATGTCCTTTCAAGGGAATGGTATGTTTTGTTGATCTCTGAAAACACAAGCTGATAGGACTCTGCCTTCTGATCTTGGGGCCTGTTGATACTCACAGCTTCGATATAACTGTCTTTCAGGCAATCACTCAAGACCAGAACTTTCTTCCTTCCTTCCTGCCTTTCCCATCCCCCATCATAATTTAAACTGGTTATATCTAAGCTTCACAGGAGGGTAAAGAAATGAGAAAAAAAAAAGCAATTTCCAACCGGGGCTAGAGTTGAGTACCCTGTGTCAGGGCTGGCATTGGGATCATGTTTGGCTTGTGCATTAAGCGTAGTTTGGAGATAAATAATGCTTGAGCAGATGGGTCACCATATATGGAGGCACTTCCACACCTCCCCCACCACTGCTTTCTGCCTCAAAGCATTTGAGAGTCCCCAATGAAACCACTGAGCCTTCTGTGCAGTGGAGATTGTGACTCGGTGGTGGTGGTGGTGGGCCAAGATGTTCCTTTCTCATAGACTAAAAACTGGAATGCATGACTATGAGAATGCAGGGGAAAATAGAGGGAGGGAGACAACAGTGACTCACAAAAGGCAGTAGGAAGCTCTCCCTTTCCCTCCTCTTTTTAAGGGGCTACTTTCCACCCTGTTCATCCTTGATGTTTCAAGTTCTCCTCTCCAACAACTCATAGTCTCCTTTTTTTTTTTTTTTGAGAAGAGCTTATTTTTTCTTTATGCTGGGGGTGGGGAGGAAACCTTTCCTAGCCTTGTCTTATCCTTTACTCTGACCGGTTCTCTTTCCCTTTCCATTCCACCATTCTGAGGGAATTTCCAGTAGTTGAGAGGAACTGGGTACACGCCCAGACATCCTAAAGTTAGATATATTATCAGCCTCAGTCAGCAAAGAATCAGGAAGCAAGTAAAAAATAGTCGAGCTAAAAAAAGGGTAGTCACAAACCCCTCTACTAAAACTCTTACCTTTATTCCTTAGGCTGACATTTAGCATTTACAATTCTAATTTTACACATAATTCTGACAACTCCAGTTTTCTGATTTATCAAATCATAACAGATTATTAGAAGTCAATCAGAAGAAAGACAGACAGAAAGATGCAGGCCCCAAAACAGGTGTTGTGACCAGTGATAATTGTCTGAAAGGTAAGGAGGAACATGATAAAATGTCCCTGGGAAGAAGGAATGGGCACATATAAATGATCTCTAAGGTTTCTTCCAACTCCAGTTTCTACAATCTTATAAAAGATTTTAATAAAAAAAAGTTTGGAAAAGTTTAGCTCTCTGTAAGAGTAAGTTCCAGTTATCTTGAAAATTCTTAGAAGGTACATTTCTCTCTACCTCCCCCTTGTCCATTAAATGAGGAGTTAGTGGGATTATTTCGCACTTTGTATAAAGAAGCAGTAGCCTCCATTCTTGCATTGATAGACATTTCCATCTGACTTCTGCTGTGGCTTCAGCATGTTTGAAAGAAAGCTTATTATCTTTGTCACCCAAACCACTTTCCCCTTCTCCCAACCGTTTCCCTATTTCTACCGATAGCATCATCATTCTCCTTATTACCTTAGCTTGAAACTTTTGAGTCACTGGTGATTCTCCTAGTCCTTGGCCCCAAGTCACCAAGCCCCCTGATTTTCTTAAAGTATCTTTTTCCATTTAAATGTGGACCACCTTCGTCATCTCATGCTTGGATTAATAATAATAATTGGTTTACTAGAGGACTCCAGACTCTGAATTTTCTATATTCCCAATCCATTATGTACTTCTATCTCTTCAAATTAATTTTCCTAAAACATTACTTTGATAATTCAATTCAATTCAACAGGTACAGCAAACACCTTGTATACAGAATGGAATCCTGAGCTAGGTTATAAAGATACAAAATTTGGATAAGACATAGTCTTTATTTTCATAAAGTTTATTGTTTCATCGACAGGCCTTGAACCCATCAGTGAGTTAGGATGATGTCTACCCCAAGCATGTGAACATTTCCTCTCCAGCAGAATGGGTAGATAAGAACAATTTGTTCCAATGATCATGAAGTTGGCTGAAGAATGGCTGTGGAGTGCTTAGAGTTTGTTCGGACATTGAAGACGCCAAGGTCATCTACTAAATCCCAGGCCAACTCTAATCTTGACTATCCAGTCTTGCCATTGGATTTTGATGACTATGGAAGAGAGTGAGGCTATCGACTTTGTGCAACTCTGCCTCATTTAAACCCAATCAATATGCAAGTCAAGGCATCACCCTGTGATGCCATTGGTCTTCTTTGAAAACAACGGACAAACAACAACACAGTCTCATGGGGAGGCATGGTAAGACACAAATGCTGACAATTATATTATATGACAGGTGTGTTAGAAAGGTACAGAATAAAGTTCTATATGAAATATGAAAGAAAAGATCATTATGGATTAGCAGGATCAGTGAAAACATACTGGGAGGAGTAGTATTTGAGTTAGACCATGAGAGATAGTTAATAATTCAGCAGGCAAAGGGTAGAGAAGAGGGAGGGCATTTCAGATATAGAAAATGGTGTGACTGAAGGTGGAAAAGTGGAAAAGCATAGTGCATGGCAGAGGGAGGGCAGAGAGAGAAGGCAAGGGATAGAAAATTGTCCAATTTGGTTGGAGTATAGGGTACTTGGAATAGAGTAATATGGAATATTGTTAGAAAGATAGGGTGGTCCCAGATTGTAGAGGGCCAAGGGCAAAGGATTTTGAACTTTATTGGGTAGGTAATAGGGAACCAGGGGCAATTTCTGAGCAGAGGAACAATGTGACTATATATGGAAGATTACTTTAGCAGTTACCTGAAGGATTACTTAGAGCAGAGCTTCTTAATTTGGGGTCTGTGAACTTATCTTCAAAATATTATGAAAACAATATTTCAATAAAATTGATTTTTATTATAATCCTATATATTTTATTTTATGCATTTAAGACTATTATTCTGAGAAGGATTCTATAGACTTTACCAGACCTCTAAAGGGGTCTGTGACACAAAAAAAGATGAAGAAGGAAGAGAAAATGGCTATAGGAAGATCTTTTAGTAAGATATTGCAAAAATCTAGGAAGGTAGTAAGTAACAGGAACCTGCATAATGGTGATGGTGGTAGGGACAGAAAGAAAGAGATGATTGTGGGAGCTGTTGTAGAGATAGAATCCATATAAACTAGTGACAATTTGGAGAGGCATATGAGAAGTATAGGAGAATGAAGGGTCAAAGACAGCAAAGTTTCAAACATGGGAGATAAGGTGAATCATGGCATTATTGACGGTGATAGTGAAATCAGGGAAAGGAGTAGGTTTTTTGGGGGAAGATAATAAGCTTCATTTTGGGCAGAATTTGAGGTGCTGGTGGAACATCCAGGTAATGATGTTCTTTTGCCAGCTGGAGGTACAGTTAGAGCTCAGAAGAAGTGTCAGACAGGAAATTTGATAGTCATTTATATAATGGTGAGTGTCTACTGGATAATGAATGAATGAATGAAAAAAAAATCACTTATTAAGCCCTTACAATGTGCAAAGCACTGCTTTCAAGGAACTCACATTCCATTTAAAATTATTTTATTTATTTCATTAAATATTTACCAATTACATGTAAAAAACTTTTAACAATCACTTAAAAAAATCTGAGTTCTAAATTCTCTCTCCTCACACCCCTTCTTGAGAAGGCAAGCAATTTGATATTGACTATACATGTGAAGTCATATAAAACATATGTCTATATTAGCCATGTTGTAAAAGAAAACACAAAATAAAATAATAAACATAAAGAAAATAAAATTTAAAAAATATACTTCAATCTGCATTGAGTTCATCAATTTCAGGAGCTCACATTCTAATGGGTGAGACAGTACATATGGAAAGTTTTACCTGTGTCAGATGGAAAGGTCCTTAAGGGGCAGTGGAAGAGCAGGTAATAAAATAGTATCTGTTTCTAATGTTGAACCATTTGACAATACCAAGGACTTTGGTACCCAGAATTTTCTTGTCTGGGTCTTTAATAGCTGTGGCTGTAGCACCCAGCAGAGCAGTTGCCCAGCTGCATCTCCACAGGATCTGCTTTCCAGGATGATGGCTGAGGGCACTGGGCTGGAAGCTTTGCTATTTCCAAGGCTCTTGGGCTCCTGGGTTGTTTCCATTGGGGTCTGAAGGGAGATGATGGTCAAGGTTGTGGTAGTGGTTTGACTTGTTGCCTCCTATATCTCTCCCAGGGTACCCTGTTGCCTCAGTTAGGCTAGGTCACCTTGCCCTATGGGTAGCAGTTCAGGTGACTGTCCAGCCTCTCCTCCAAAGGAGTTGCTTTCCCAGAGGGTGACTTTAAGGGCTGACCCAGAAGTAGGACTGGTGGCCTGGGGGGCATCTCCGCTCCCAGGGCTCCCGTGTCTATCTTCCTATTGGTAGCAGTTGGTCATAGGGGCTGGTTTGGAAGCTGGTCCAGTGGTTTGAGGGCACTACTATTTCCAAGGCTTTTGGGTTCAGGGTCCTGAGTTGTCTCAATTGGGTTTGAGATGAGATGGTGGTGAAGGTGGTGATGGTGGTGATGGTTGATTTTCCTGGCACGTACTGCCTCCTGTCTCTCCCTTGTGGTACTCTGCCACTTCAGCTAGGCTGGCTTGCCTAAAAAAAAATAAAACCCGAACTCCTTAGCTTATCCCTGAAGGCTTTTTATAAATTGGTCTCAGCATTGTTTTTCTTTTGCATTTCTCACTGTTTCCCTTTGTGAACCTCTTGCTTCAGGCAGACTATCATGTTACTGACCCTAACAGAGCGTGCTCACCCTTGCTCCAGTTTCCCATGCCTGTCACCACTTTTTGGTTTATTCCAAGCCCACCTCCATTTCAAGGTCCAATTGAAAGTTCTACTTCCTCTGTGGTTTCTCCTGACCTTTTCAACCCACACTGACCTTCCTCTTCTCCAAAGTTTCAATGGACTGATTGTCTCTACAACCTGAGAATTATTTAACTTTTTATGGTGAACCGTGTCTTCCTACATTAGACTGAAAGTGCTTTGAGGACAGGGTCTGTGTCTTCTCAGAATCTCTCATAGGCTATTGACTGAATGTTTGTTGTTTGACTGATTGACTTTGATCAATTTATACAATCTGTACTTCCCACAGAATTAAGAAAGCAAAGAATAGGAAGTGGTGTTCTAAAATCAGGTTGGTCCAAAAAACATGGCAAAAGCTTAAGGGGGAGAGGTAGACTATGGTGATAGTAAGGATTTTATTGAGGTTATTGACTAGAGAGTCCAAATCTGAGAAAATATAAAAAGGGCTGTCATTCTTATCTTTGTAATTTCCTACATCTAACAGCCTGGTACATAGTATGTACTTAATAAATACTTGTTGAATGAATGAAGTTGGGCAGGGGTGACAATTGTAGCCTGCTTGCGTGAATTAAGTTCTGATTAGGGTATAAAGCTGTTTTAGAGGATGGAGATAAAAAAAGGGGGAACCTCAAGCTTGAGATAATATATCTGATTTATATAGCACTTTATAGTTTGTAAAATATTTTCCATTTGCAGTAGGAGTGATCGGGAGAATTCCTTGATCTGATGAACTCCCATCATGGAGTTCCCATGGAGCTGGGCATACATGTAGGTTCTTGCTGCTTTGTGGATCCAGTCGCTATTGTTGTTAGGGTTGGAGGGGTGGAGAGGGAAAGAAATCCCCTCTCCTTACTGGAAGAACAAGGGAGAGCTAGTGTTGGCTATGTCCTGACAAAGAGGTTCCCTCAAAAGAGGCCAGAAAGGAAGAGAAAGGGAATAAGCATTTCTAGGGCGTTATTATATGCCAGGCATTGTGCTAAGTGCTTTTACAAATATTTTCACATTTGAGCCTCACAACAACTTTACTGAAAGCAGTCTTTCCTCATTCCTAATAGTCCACAGAGAGGGTGGCTGTTCTTGGCTCGGTATCCAATCCTCCAGGAACAGCTCACAAAGGGACACAACTAACCATGAACCTCTGGTCATGCAGGTCCTTCAGCCAGGGTGGACAGCACATACCCAGCTCCATGGGAGTTACCCCAGTCTAGCAGATCAAGGGCTTCCCAGTGATTATTACATTTCACATAAATTACCTCATTTTATCCTCCCACAACCCTGTGAAGTAGGGACTGCATTTATTCTTATCCCCCATTTTACAGACAAGGAAACAGAGGTGCAAAGAGACTTGCCTATGATTGCAGAGGCAGTAAGTGTCAGAGGTAGATGCTTAATTCAAGTCTTTTCCAACTTCTAGGTTCATTTACCTTTCCAGTGCTACCTTGATGAAGTCTAACAACACAAAGGTGAGGAGAAATGCATGGCTGATGCAAAGAAGCGGAGGTCTTTACAGTTATGAAGGCCAAGGAAACATGAGGCCAGTGTATGCAAAGGCTTACTGATAGGATGTCAAAGTCTCTGAAGGGGACGCTTTGCCATGAAGGGAAGAATAAGAACACGTATCAGGTTCTGTAGTCACTAAGTAAGGTGGAAATGGGTCCTAAGAATCCTAGTCAATAGAAGCAATTAGAAAAGATAGTGGATTTGAAAGAATGAGAAGAAGAAAGAAGGCAGTCCATTGACCCAGAGTTGGCATTGCTCAGGGAAGAGAAAACCAGTCCTCCTCCTTTTCTCACTGAATGGGTAGGAGTAAGAGATGGCAAGGCATCTAAGTGAGAGTGCATAGTGAAGATTGGGGGAGTGGGATGCTGAAATCCACAGTAGCCTGAAGTCTCCACGGGAGAATGATGATTTCTGGGCCCCCTGCTTCCATGGACTCCTCAATGGGGGAGCAGCTTCCAGTTCTTCTAAATCCAGTTCTTCTAAATCTTCTAAATCTCTCACCCCCATCAGTTAGTTTAACAAAGTCATGTTTCTGAAATATATCTTGGCCCAGCATTGAGGAGGTACTACTTGACTTAGTTTCTGGGTGTGAAGACATTTCTTCAGCAGTAGAACCTAGATATCGTGGTTTATTTTTGAAGAGCTGGTGAGGATAATATCCGATGTGCAGAGTTTGTTTTTATCCAGCTAGAAAATTTGCTGGGCTTCCTGTCATATAGAGGGTAACCTTTCCCATGGAAAAGTCTGCCATCCTTTTGTTGCTGGAGTGAAAAGGCAGAGGGAGGCAGATATCATAGGATAAGAGGATTAAGCACTGGAAGGAACCTCAGCTCATCCAGTCCACCCCCTTGTTTTATAGATGAGGAAACTGAAGTCTGGAGAAATGAAGTGACACTCTTGCCTGGTTCCTTAAATGAGTTTGTCATAAGCAGATGTTTCAAGAAGCATGGCTGCTTTCTGCTGAAAGGAAGAGGAAGACACATGGAATATTAACAGAGAGCAGGAGCAATATAATTCTGACCCCACTTGGCCCTTCATAGCAAGAGAATATAAAACAAGGATAAACGCATAGACAAGTGGAATGTATAGCTGAAGAAGTAAAAGATCAACCAGGAAATGTGTGATTGGAAAATAAGATCAGCTGGTCATGTAGCCAAAACAGGAGGGGTCAGATAGAAATCAGATGGACAGTAGACTGGAAACTCAGGGCCCTCTGTTGATTTAAGTTATTTTATCAACATCTCCAAGTGTGTTCTGGTGAAGTTAATGAATCTCTTCACTTCTGAACATTCATTTCAATTGTTGAAGACCGTTTTGGTTACTGACTAACTTGCTTTTTCAGTTCTTCTATGAATAAATTCCAAGAAGATGAATCTAAGACTGGGGAATTGTGGGCTTCTTAAGACCTCAGCACACTGACAAATGCACTCTCCATCAACATCATAGATTGCCATTGATCCCATTTTATAGATGGAGAAAGTAAGACTAGAGAGGGGAGATAATTTATCCAAGGCCATATAATAAAATTGAGGCTAGCTGAAGAGTCTATTTTCTTCACCAAATTCTCTAGATAACACTGAGGGTAGGGAAGAAAAGGTTTCTTTTTATTTTGCTTTTGCTTGGGGGATTTTTTTTTTTACAAAACTTTCCATCCTTCTTTGCAATATAATTGCTGAGGTTGCAGCATGTATAGTTTCTCAACCTCCTTTCCCAAAACTGACCCCTGTGATGATTCTGTGGACAGTTTCCCTCAGTTCACACAGAACAGATTTCATAATCAGAAGCCCTTCCCACAAGATGATATAAATATGGGTCGTATGTAGTATATTGGGCCTACATTGCATTTAGCCTAGAAGGTGGAAATCTATAGGTACTTCACAATAGACATTATAGACAAGGCAGCTAGTCCAATGGAGAAGCACCAAACTTTGAGTCAGAAAGCTTGGGTTCTAATTTTGACCCACTCACTTATTATCTATTTGACTTCAGGCAAATCATTTGCCTTGAGTGGCAGTTTTCTCATTCATAAAATGGAGATAATAATTTTTGTACTACTGGCTTCACAAGAGTGTTGTGAAGGCCAAATGGGGCAACGGATTTGAAATATTTTATAACCATCAATAGATAATACTTCGATAATGGGATTCTGGGAAGATGGTGGAGTAGGTCAGACATTTCCAGGCTCTCCAATTCTCCTCCACAAACAGAATATCTTCACGAAGTGAATATAGAGCAGCAAAAACAATGGGGTAAAGCAGTTGTCTTCCTAAAATGACTTGAGAGGACCTCAGAAAAGACAGGACCTTCAGGGGCTGAGGTTTAGCCTGAGTGAAATGTAGACACCTACAGGCCCACACTGAGTCAACAAACAGCAGGCCTTAGGGCAGCTCCATCAGGAAGCAGACTAGGCCTCAACTTTCACCTCACTCAAGGGTTCAAGAAATTATTTCAAAGCCTCAGGAACTTTCACCTCACAGACTTCATCTAAGGAAGAGCAGACAGTTGAGTGGAGGAGGATTGAAGGAACCTTTGCCGTTTCTGGAAGCTAACCCTAATGGTGCTGACCAGACCTGATCCCTAGCTGTGGTTGTGGGCAGGAAGGAGCAATGTCCAGTGAGTACAGTTGAGCGCTGGGGATAGATTTCAGAAAATAAAAGTAAGGAGGACCTGAGGCCTAGGGCAACATTATCCACAACTCAAGATTAAAACTTGATTATAATAATAAACCGCTAAAAATAAAATAAAACAAAATAAAAATGAAAATGAGTAAGCAAAGGAAAAAGAACCTGACCACAGATAACTACTTTGGTGTAAAAGAAGATCTGGGTTCATATTCAGAGGAAGATAATGAGGTTAAAAAAAGTCACTCTTACCTCAAAGAGTAACATCAAATGGTCACAAACTCAAAAAGAGTTCTTGGAAGAATTTAAAAGGGAATTCAAAAATAAAAAAAGAGAGCTCAAGGAAAAATTAGGAAAAAAATAAAAGCAATCCAAAAAAAATAAGAAAAGAAAGTTAGACAACTGGAAAAAGAGGTTCAAAATCTTAAGGAAGAAAATAATTTCTCGAAAATTAGAATTGGGCAAGAGGAATTGAATGACATTATAAGACACCAAGAAATAATAATAAAAAAAAAACTAGAGAAAATAGATGAGAGTCTGAAACATCTCATTAGAAAAACAACTGATCTGGAGAACAGATTGAGGAAAGACAATATAAGAATTGTCAGACTACTTGAAATTTATGATAATAAAAGAATCTAGATACAATATTACATGAAAGTATTAAGAAAATTGACCTGAAGTTCTAGAACAAGAAGGTAAAGTAGAAATAGATAAAACATACTGTTCAACACCTGAAAGATTCCAGAAGGAAAACTTACAGGAATGTCATAGCCAAGTTTGAAAACTCCCAGGTTAAGGAGAAAATACTGCAAGTGACAAGAAAAAAAATTTTAATACTGTGGAAATACACTCAGGATTTCACAAGACCTAGCAGTTTTTACTCTAAAAGACTGTAGGTCTTGGGACATTATATCTCAAAGAACAAAAGAACTGAGTTTGCATGTAAGAACAATTTATCGAGCAAAGTTGAGTATAATCCTGAATGAAAAAAAAATGGACATTTGACAACTGAAAGACTTACAGGTATTTGTAACAAAAAGACCAGAACTCAATGGAAAATTTGT